ATTATGCTGGTCTGAACTTACCTGGAGCAGTGGATAAGAGCAGCTTAAAAGCCTAAGTGTTGCCAGGTACTGGTGGCTCATACTTGTAATTCTAGCAACTCAGGAGAACTGAGGATCATGGTACAAAGCTAGCGGGGACAGGAAAGTCTGTGAGACTCTCATGTCCAATTAAGCACCAAAAAGCTGGAAGTGGAGCCTGTGGCTTAAGTGGTAAGAGTGCCTTGATCATAAAAGCTCAGGGACAGTGCCCAGGCCCTGGGTTCAAGCTCCAGGACCCTGTCTCTCCCTCCCCCCCCCCAAAAAAAAAAAAAACTCACCTTTTTCAGTTGTTTTTTTCATTGCCTCTTACCTTTGAGCACAGCACAGAGGAGTACCTTTAACCTAGATAGAAATGATGCGTGTTTGCCTAACAGTGTTTTTACATGACCTCTGAGTCCATTTCCACACTGTACAAAATAAGGCAGTCAATCAAGAAGGCAAGTTTCACATGCCTGTCCCTCTTCTGCTTGGTGTCCACTTTACTTCTGTTCTCTGACTTTTCACATCACTCACTGCCTGTCCACATGTGAGTGTTGGGATAGAGGAGGCTGCCTTTCACAGACAGGGATTTTTCTAGGTATACATTTACATTCCTTTGTTGCTGGTATGATGATAAGCTTATGAACGAGCGTGTGAAGCTGTCATTCTTTATATGACTGCGAGTCTCTGCATTGGTGATGTGATTTTTACTCTTACCACTCATCTGTCAATGTTTGTCTGTGGGTGGCTTTGTCACTGTCTTTGCTTTGTTTTGTGTGTGTTTGTGTGTGTGTGTTTGTGTGTGTGTATGTGTACGTGTACGTATAGGTGACAGCCTAACAGTGCTCAGGAGCACAAGCTTTGTTTTTAGTCAGTTGTGCGGCTTGAACTCTGGGACTGGGTGCTATCACTTCACTCTTCAGCTCAAGGTTATCGCTCTACCACTTGAGCCACAATGCCACTTGCGGTTTTCTGGTGGTTAATTGGAGATAAGAGTCTCATAGACTTTCCTGCCCAGGCTGGCTTTGAACCATTAGGATTACTGGCGTGAGCCACCGGCGCCCAGCCAAGCTTCTTAAGTTCAATCTAGAAACTGCTGCTTAGGGCCTATGTGACCAGAGGTAAGTAAGTTCTTTCATCTCTCTGGACCTATTTCCTATCCAATGCTAAGCAGTAGTAGTACTTTCTAGGTTATTGTGTGGGTTATAGGTAAGGATTTAACATAGTATTTAGACCAGCATTTTCAAAAGAAATACAATGTGAACTACATGTGTAATTTAAAATTTTCTATGGAAGTGCCAGTTTTGAACTCAGGATCTCACACTTGCTAGAGTGACATTCTACTTTTGAACCATGCCTCCAACCCTTGAGGCATATGTCAGCCTCGTCATTTGTAATTTTCTGAGGGGCATGTGTAAAAAAGTGAAATTAGTTTGTTCTTTGTTTTGTTTTATTTTGCTGCCCTGGGGCTTGAACTCAGGGCCTAAGCACTGTTCCTAAGCTTTTCTGCTCAAGACTAGCACTCTACCACTTGAGCCACAGCTCTACTTCCAGTTTTAGTAGCTCTTTTAATTGGACTCTCACGGATTTTGCTGCCTGCAATTGTGGCGTGAAACTACAATGCTCAGAGCTCAGCCTTCTGAGTGAGGATTAGACATGAGTCGCTGGTATCGGCTCCTTGGGAAGGTTTCAACAGCAGCCCAAGTCCCGTCCTGTTTTGTTTTTTTTTTTTGTTTTTTTTTTAGTCTTGGTCCTCAGATCATCTCGTAGCCTTGCTTTCTGTGTCTTGCTCACCTGGCTCCTCTCCCCTTCAGAAACCAGATTGTTCACCTTTATCACCTACAGGTGGCCAGAATGGAGCTGTGGCCTGGGGCATGGACGGTGTTGCTACTGCTGCTTCTCCTGCTGCTTTTCTTGCTGCCCACCCTGTGGTTCTACAGCCCGAGTGCCAAGTACTTCTTCAAGATGGCCTTCTACAACGGCTGGATCCTCTTCTTGGCTGTGCTCGCCATCCCTGTGTGTGCCGTGCGAGGACGCAACGTTGAGAACATGAAGTGAGGGGCGAGGGGTGATGGGTCCTAAGGGAACCTAAGGGTGAAGAGTGAGAGATAGCTTTGTGCCCAAGTGACATCGTGGGTCTAAAAGAGAAGGCGAGAGTCCAGGGACATGGAAGGGGGCAATGACTGCAGAAGTGGCCAGCAAGTCAGTTGGGCAGGGGGAAGTGAGGCGTGCAGGAGGACATCAGTGGATCCCACTGGGCCCCCTTGCCGTGACCCCACAGGATCTTGCGTCTAATGCTGCTCCACATCAAATACCTGTATGGGATCCGAGTGGAGGTGCGAGGGGCTCACCACTTCCCTCCCTCGCAGCCCTACGTCGTGGTCTCCAATCACCAGAGCTCCCTCGACCTGCTTGGTGAGACCCCGCCACAGAGCACCCCTCCCCCAGCCATGCCCTCCCTCCTAGCCCCTTCCCTAGAACCTGCTTCAACTCTCCCTCCTTTGGGATGTTTTGCCCCCTCGCTTCCCCCTCACACCTTCCTTCCCTGGGTTGGATCTGCCCTCATGAGCAAGATCACCCTCGCTTTCACTCTGGCTCCTTCAACCCAATCTCTCCACTTTTTCTCCAGTCCCTACTAGTGTACGGTGATAACCTGGGTGGGTGTACTGCCTGATCTGACACCTTGCTTGCACCTTGACTCCTTCCCCATCCCCACCCTTGTCCAAGGGATGATGGAGGTACTGCCAGGCCGCTGTGTGCCCATTGCCAAACGTGAGCTACTGTGGGCTGGCTCTGCTGGGCTGGCCTGCTGGCTGGCCGGAGTCATCTTCATCGACCGGAAACGCACGGGGGATGCCATCAGTGTCATGTCTGAGGTCGCCCAGACCCTGCTCACCCAGGACGTGAGTCATTCTGGGAAGACATGGGCTTGGGAGCTCGGGACAAGAGTTGTAACCAGCTGATACCAGGGGCCGAGGGGCCTCAGTATGGCCTCGCTACCACTCTGAGCCCTCCATATTGTGTGTTTTTGTCTTTCAGGTGAGAGTCTGGGTGTTTCCTGAGGGAACAAGAAACCACAACGGCTCCATGCTGCCCTTCAAACGTGGCGCCTTCCATCTTGCGGTACAGGCCCAGGTGATTAAAGCTCCTCCTTCTGCTGTCCAGCCCTCACCCTTCCTTCTTATCCGGGCAGAAGCTTGGAGCTGGGCACTGATGGCTCATGCCTGTACAGGCTCATGCTTGTAATCCTAGCTACTCAGGAGGCTGAGGTCTGAGGATGGAGGTTCAAAGCCAGCCCAGGTAGGAAAGTGCATGAGACTCTTATCTCCAATGAACCACCAGAAAGCCAGAAGTGGCACTTTGGCTCAAGTGGTAGAGTCGCTCACCTTGAGCTGAAGAATGCAGGGACAGCGCCCAGGCCCAGAGTTCAAGCCCCATGACCAAAAAAACAAAACAAAACAAAAAAACCTCCAATTAACAACTCAAAAACCAGACATGGCACTGTGGCTTGATTAGTAAAGCACAAGCATAGAATACAAAGAGGCTCAGGGACAGCGCCCAGACCCTGAATTCAAGCCCCACAACCCACAGAAAAAGGGACTTGGGGACTGATGTGCTTTACCCCTTTCCCAGGTTCCCATTGTCCCCATAGTCATGTCCTCCTATCAAGACTTCTACTGCAAAAAGGAACGACGTTTCACCTCAGGTGAGAGCTCTGAGCAGGTCTAGAGATGGGTATGACCAGAACAACCATCAGAGAGGCTGGGGGTCATCCCTGGGAGGAAGGGGAGTCATTCAATGCCAGGTCCTGAGACAGCCACATGATCATGACCCTACACCAGGTACCCCTCTATACTATTAGGATTGAATGGGAAATATAAGGCCTATATGTGTGAAGCCATAATAAGTAACACGGAGTAAATGCTGAGCCTAGAAGGTAAGGGCTAGAGGACTGGCAGATGTCTGGACTAGGGTTTGGGGAAGGTTTTGTACAGGAAAGTCTTAGGTGGCAGCTGGCAAATGAGAGGGGTGGGTTGTCCAGACTCAGAGACCTGAAAGAGGAAAGGAGTAGTAAGAGCACTTCAAAGCTAGGCCCTGCCTGTTGGCAGAGGTCTGGAAGGACAGGCCGTGATGGTGCTCCTCATCACCCAGGACGATGTCAGGTGCGGGTGCTGCCCCCAGTGCCCACAGAAGGGCTGACACCAGATGACGTTCCAGCTCTGGCTGACAGAGTCCGGCACTCCATGCTCACCATTTTCCGGGAAATCTCCACTGATGGCCAGGGTGGTGGTGACTGTCTGAAGAAGCCTGGGGGATTGGGCGAGGCCCGGCTCTGAGCTTTCTTCCCACCTGTCTTCCTTCCCACACTTACCAACCCAGTGGCCCTCCTTCGGGCCCAGGCCCAGCCCTCTTCCTCCCCTTCCCCCTCTTCCCCCCACTTATTCTTCTCTTTGGAATCTCCAGCTTCTGAAGTGAATGTGGATAGTGTCACTCCTTGTCCCTTCCTGACCCCATCCATGGACAGTCCTGCCTGGGTGCAGTCTCCACTCTGATCCCCTCCTCCTGCCATCTTGTCTGTGGCACATTTGCCTCCCCTCATCTCGAGTGGCTCATCCTACACAGGGGTGGGGGGCATTCCATCCCATGCCTGGTGGATTCTTCCTTTGTGGTCGTCTCTCCCTCTCCATCCCACATTGACCAGCGGATTCATCCATTCTGTGGAACAATTCACTCCTAAGTCCACGGATTCAGTGGACTCATCTGTTCGAGGACTCCTCGCCCTGTGGCTGGAAGCTGAAACCTGAACACTCCTGCCAGGGTCAACCTGGGAACTTCCCTTGGCACCTTCACCCACCTCTTGGAGACCCCCCCTTTAGTGGGGGGCACACTCTTCTAACTCAGAGGTCTCATCTCTGCCCTTGCCCAAATGCCTAGGGTTGAGGACACTCTTAGATGCCAGCTTGGTTTCCATGTTTTTGTTCGCCCCTGTCCCTGGGATACAGTTCTTCAGTGGTCTTGACGCCATTCAGCCCCCCTGTACCATCCTAACCAGACATGGGGGAGAGGCAGACGTCAGGTGCTGCACTCACTGGTCCCTGGAGAGTTGGGGAAAGACCTGGACCCTGGCTGAAGGGGAGAGGGGAATGTTAATTTATTTCTCTTTCTTTTGAGACCGCCCCCTCTCTGAGCCAGTTGTCATTTCCCCCTCGTGGTATTGACTGCTCCCTGCCTCTCACTCCAGACCTGTTCACTCCCCCCACCCCCCTCAACCCAGGAGGTATCTGGGAGCAGGAGAGGATGGGATCCAGTTTTGTGTGGTTGGCTTTTATTATCTGGATAACAGCAAGCAACTAAGAATAAAGAGAGAGAGAGAGATCTGGGTGCTTTCTTGCTGTATTTGTTAAGGAGTTGGAGAAGCAGTCCTTCTTTGCCTAGGCAACTTGCTCCAGTGAGAAAAGACAGGCCAAGACAGCCCACTTTCCCACAGCTCTCCAAAGCTCTGGCTCACTTCTTTGATGGCTGATGGCCTTATCTGCAGCTCCCAGGTGGCCAATCCCCCAGGATGAGTGGGTGCCACCTGTGTATAAATTAGGAGGCTGGGACACTGAGGAGGTTCCGTATCAGTGATTGAGGCCAGGACCAAGGCTGTTGTCCTCACAGGAGCCTGTGGTTGAGAAAGAGAAAGAAAGAAAGGTGGGTTGTGGGGGATCCCCAGCTGGGGGAGGGACCAACGCTGCCACTCCCCCCAAGAAGTGAGACTGTTGGGATAGGGACCGTGTCCCAGAGGGGAAGAGGATTGGAATGGTGATTCCAGTGTTGAGAGTGCTGAGGAGGGCATTCCAGAATGAGGGAATGCTGAGGTAAGGGGTCTTCAGAAAAGATGAGGCTCAAGTGGAGAGAAGCAAGACTTACAGGCACCCAGCCTCTCCTCCAGCAGCAGCACCTGATCACTAAGAGATTCGATCCTGTCACCCCAGCCCCACAGCTCTGCCACCTGTTCTGGATGCAGCTCCTCAGGCGGCATGGGCAGCACAGCCCGGACCCAGGCCCCGGCCTGAGCAGCCCACTGCAAAGGAAGACAGGTATTTCAGGATACTGCACCAGACCTTCCCACCCTGAGGGCCCAGCCCCAGGCACCTCTGCTCACCTGCTCCAGCTGTTCCAGGCGCCCTCGAAGCTCAAGAATCTCCCTCCTCAGGGTGCTTTCATGTTCAGCTTCTCGAACTAGAGACAAAAATGGGTAACATGCCCACTGCCCTGGCTCCTGCTGCTGGTCCTAGGCCCTCCCTGTGTGCAGCCCATACTCACTGGCCACGCTGAGGATGCTGGCACTAGTTGGGGGCTCTGGGGATCCCTCTGTACAGGTACGCTGGTCAGGGCCCAGCACCAGTCCCCGGGGACAGCTGCAGGTGAAGCTGCCCGCCGTGTTGAGACAACGATGTGAGCAGAGGGTGACACTGATCCTACATTCATCCACATCTAGTTACGGGAAAGAGGAGGACACTGAGGGGTCAGGGCAGATGCCCAGATGGGTGGGAAGACCTAGCAACCCCCCCACTGGTAGGAGGGCAACTCACCCACATGACAGTGCTTCCCCCCCCAGCCAGGGGCACACTCGCACTGATCAGGCCCAACACAGCTACCTCCATTCAGGCAAGGCTTAAGGCAAATGGCTGTTAGGGAAGAAAAGGCTTCAGGCCTGAACTAAAGGCCCAGTTACCCAGGACCCCCAACCCTGGCATGCCTCCTGCTGGACAAGGAAGGCCCAGCCTCACCTTCACAGGTGAGCGCCCCTGGGTGTCGCTTCTTCCAGCCCTGGCAGCACACAGCATGGGTCTGCTGCACTTCCCGCCTCACCTCCCGCCATGCCACACGGTATGTGGTCCTAGAACAGAGTGCCAGGCTGAGGACCCTGAGTTTGGGTTCTGATTGAAGTTCTTGGGTCCTTTTGAGAGACTCCAGAGTGGCCACATCCCCATCTCTCACCTGTAGGTACTGCAGATGCGCCTTCCAGCACAGAGGGTCAGGTACGGCTTGTACACGGGTTGGCTGTAGGACTCGTTGTAGTGGAGCGGTACCACCAGTGTCTGCTTAGAGCAGACCCCCTGTCTGCACCCATGCCAGAGAAGGAAGTTGGAGTCATTGAGATCATCAGGCCCTAGGGAGCCTGGAGTCCGGCAAGCACAGACAAGAGGCCTGGCTCTCCCTGAAGCTGACAGCCTCACCCTCATTCTGAACTTTCAGCATTGTTTGGCTTCTAGTAGAGCCCTCCCCCCCACCCTCCCACACACCCAGCATCAGAAGCCCCCCAGGCAGACCTCACCTTACCCAAGCCCCACCCCCTCTTGTCACCTCTCTTTGAGGGAGCCACCCTTGGCCCCTTGGCCTGGCATCAGTAGCAGGAAGAACGAAAGTCCGCCTAAGAGAATACACAGCTCAGCCCTGGACCCCATGACTCTCCTTGACTCCAGACTCTGTGGGCTGCAGGTGAGGTAGTGGGTGCCTCTCCCCTCTCCTGTTCAGGGCTCCAGCCCCTCCTGAAACCACCTGCTGGTGTCCATGAAAGGGGTCAGGACCTTTACTCACGAGCTACCAGGATTATCTACACCTGGGTGTACATTTAAATGACCCCATGCTATCTTTAGCAGCTGGGATCCATTCAGCATTATCTACGCTCCCTCCACCACCCCTCTAGCCAGTAGCCCCCAGTGCTGTGCTCTACCTGGAGGGACACAAAGTTACCTCATTTCCTCATGAACCTCCTTAACATGCCCTCTTAGAACTTTCACATCAAGACCCCAAACACCCCCAACACCTTACACCTAAGACCTCAGACTTCCATGCTTTAAAACACATTTCTGCTGACCTCACATATACACACATACATACATAGATGACACACATATACCTATGTCCTGGATACCCCTTCACTCAGACAATACCCCCAATTCTGCCTGACCCCACTCCCCCATGGATGTTCTCTCCCCATCTGCCTCCTCTTTCCCCCATTCCCACCTGGCTTCTCTCTCCAGGGAGACTTCAGGCAGTCTAGCCTCAGAAGTGGCAGTTCAGACTGGTGGGTGGGCCACCGGGGCTGAGGAGGAGGAGGGGCTGGGCCAGAGGCCTCCCATTCCTGCCCCCTCCCACAAGCCTCCTCCTTAGCACCAGCCTGGTCAGTTCAGTGAGGTCAAGCCACACTGCCCTCACCCCTACTCTAGCAAAGCACTGCCCGAATCTTCCTGTGAGCCCCCCCAAAATTACAGATCCCCTAAATCCATAGAAGCTCCTGGTTCTAATAGCACCAGTTACCCAACAACGTACACCCTAACTCTCAATTCAACCCAACACACTGGAGAGAGACCAAGCAGGATCAGGTCATGGGAGAAGAGGTACAATCAGTGGAGGAAAGAAGAGTTAAGTCATCACAAAAGGGCAGGGGGGAAACTCAAGGCACCAGGGGAAAGACTGGTCCACCCCTTGATGATATTTGTTAGGGCTTAAGGGGCACAGAGTTGAGTCAGCCACTACCCTCCCTATGCCAAAGCAGACAGAGCCCTATTGTCCTGGCCAAAATTCCTTCTTTCAAGGAAAAGGAGGCTCATTGTACAACCCCCTCACTCAGCTCTAGCCTACAAAGGTCGTAAAGGGGCACAGCACATGCCCACCCTGACCCTCAGCCCCTTCGTCTAGCCTGGGGGTGGCAAGCACATTCCACTCATGAGGCTGAGGCCCACACCACTGGAGCTCTGGGCTCAGCCCCCTAATCCTAGGCTGGGACAGGAAGAGAATTGTCCTCAGCAGGAAAAGAACCCGCTGAGAATCAGGAACCCATACAGAATGGGCATTGAGAGAACGGAAACACCAAGGGGGTCCCCACCCCACATCAGGCATCCGGGTACCCAGGCCCCAGGCTCTCTATCCCCATCCTCCTTGAGGACCCCAGGTTCCATTTACCTGGAAAGAAGCCAAGCCACACTGAGGAAATTGAACTTTATTTCCATAAATACAAGGAACACCCATTCAAGGGTAGTTAAAAGAGGGGCTGGGGCCTCAAAGAAACTAGGCTCCCAGGGCATACCCCAACACTGATCATAGGGACTGGGGGATCCCCAAACCTGAGATGGGCCTTGCAGGCCACAGATATTCCCCAACACTGACACTTCAAGAACGGAACTATCCCCATAGGGGAGCCACAGAACCCCACGCTCATGGGTGTCCTTGGAGGATGAGGAGGGCTGACGACAGAGGGGAAGGTCAGAGGAAAAGGGAACATGGGAGACAAGCTAAAAATGTCCTGAGTGGCCTGGAGGGACACCCCTGTGGTGGGCAGGGGCTGGTTCTCCTGTACAGCCAGAGGAGGAGAAGGTGGAGGAGCAGCAGCAGCAGCAGCAGGAAGAGGAACAACCACAAGTTGTTTAAAAACTTGGCTCTCACTTGCCTCCTTGGCCTTGGGAGAAAGGGAAACCATGTCCCCCAAACAAAAGGACATGAGGTAGGGGGACCAGGACTTGTCATTCATGAAGGAGCAGAGGATGGGGATTTTGAGAGCCCTGGTTGGTAGGGGGCAGTGTGGGAGCAATGAGGCATGCCAGAGGCTGACATCTGCTTTCCAAGGCCACCACTTGGTCTCTGGGCTGGGGGCTTCCTGACCACCTGAGAACATCCTCAGGACAGCCATGGTTCAATGCAAGTATCATAAAGAGTACGGTTGGAATGCCAGACTGTGTGGGAGATCCCAGCCATCGGACATCTCACTATGGCCCCTCGAGCCAAGAGAGTCTTCAACCCAAAAGAATCTCGCAGATATACCTTCAAGGTGGGTGGAGGGGCATAGAAGCATAGAAGAAAAACACAAAAGAGACACAAAGTGAGTTACTGCAGTCCTTCCGGGCCCCTCCCCACATAAACCTTTCAGCTTAGATGTCAGTAGTAGGGAAAGCTCCAAAATGAGGCGAGACAGTGGACCAAGAGGGAAAGCATTGCAAGGGGCTTACCGGTTGCTCCTCCATCTCCAAGACTGTCTCATTGGCATCATAGAAACCAAAGAAACTACAAGAGATTGGAGAGGCAGTTATCAGAAGAGGTAGGTAATAAAAATAGATAATAAGATAGTAAAACAACAACAATAATAGTAGTCAAGGAAAATCAAGATGTAACACCTATAATTCCAGCACTCAAGAGGCTGAGGCAGGAAGATTGTGAGATTGAGGCCAGCCACACTACTGTGATCTTGGACTAGGGAAGTCTAGAACAAAGGCAAAGAGATGAGACACAGCTAGGCATGTGGGAGAGCGTGGGCCAGAAGCCTGGGATGGATTTCAGAAGGTCTAAGAAAGTGGTATTCACACAGGCTCTATTCTCCCCAAGTGTATATTTGAACATGTCCTCACTGTACCATAAGGCCTCCTTGAAGGGGGCACCTGTGGCTCCTGCTTGTAATCCCAGATATTCAGAGGGCTGAGATCTGAGCATCTCAGAGCCAACCTGGGCAAACAAACCTGAGAGGCTTTTTTTTTGGGGGGGGGAGGGAGGGACGGCTTGAACTCTGGGCCTGGACACTGACCCAGCACTTTTTTGGCTCAAGGCCAGCACTCCACTCGAGCTACAACACCACTTCTGGGTTGTTTTTTTTTTTGAGTAGTTTATTGACACTCGGTTCTGAGAGACTCTTATCTCCAATTAATCATAAAAGAAAAAGCAGGAACTTGAAACTTGATGTGGTAAAGCATCAGCCAAGAGCAAAAAAAAACCACAAAAGGGGCTGGGAAGGTGGCTCAGTGGTAGAGCGCTTGCCTTGCATGCCTGAGGCCCTGGGTTCGATTCCTCAGCACCACATAAGCAAAAAGAAAAAACGCGGAAGTGGCGCTGTGACTCAAATGGTAGAGTGCTAGCCGTGAGCTGAAGAGCTGAGGGACAGCGACCAGGCCTAGCGTTCAGGCCCCACAACCGGACCCAAAAAAAAAAAACCCACAAAGACAAAAACAAGGGATTCCCACACACACACTCAAAAAAAAAAAAAAAAAAGAGCAGATGAGGCCTAAGTTGAAGCCCCAGTATCAGAATCCTTGTACCTGGAAGGTGCTGGCAAGAGGACAGGCTAGTCTGGCCTGCACAGTGAGTTTGAGGTCAACCAAAGCGGACTCAAACAAACAAGCAAAACAACTGGATAACGTGATCTCACCACATACTACCTCTATGAATGTAGACATATTCTTCTCCATACCTTTGCCTCTATGTTGTCTTAAATATCAAATGAAAATAGTTGTAAGGATTAAATTAACAATGCATGCCAAGTACTTAAAACAGTATCTTGACGCATAGGAAATGCTCATAACCTGATCTATTACTAACTTTCATAGTGTTCCTGTTCAGATAAAATGATATAATGCATATAAAAGCCTCTTGTTGCACTCAAATAAAAGGATGTCAGGCTTTCATCAAACACTCCAATAAGCCAATCGCTGGTAGCTCATGCTTGTAATCCTAGCTACTCAGGAAGCTGAGATCTGAGGCTCCTGGTTCAAAGCCAGCCAGGCAGTGAAGTCTGTCTGACTCTTCTCCAATTAATCACCAAAAATCTGGAAGTAGAGCTGTGGCTCAAGTGATATAATTTCAGCCTTGACTGAAAAAGCTAAGGGACAGTGCTCAGACCCTGAATTCAAGCCCCAGAAACAGCAAAAACCAAATACCCCAATAAGCTGGACATTTGTGGCTCATGCCTGCCTATATTCCTAACTCTTTGTGAGATCCAGACCTGTAGGATCTTGGTTCAAAGCCAGCCTGGGAAAAAAAGTCTGAGACTCTGTCTCTAGCAAAATACTAGACTAGAAGTATGGCTCAAGTACTAAGAGTGCCAACCATAAGCACATTGAGTGCAAAGCCTTGATTCAAGTCCCCGTGGTAACATGTACATGTGCCTATGGGCACGTGCACTCACACCCTTCCCTCCCCCCACCCCCATCTCATCTTGATTGGAATAAAAGATGAAAGGAACTAGCTATCAGGAGAGGTGGGAGATGAGGCCTTATTGTTTAGGTGATCTATAATTTCAGTTTAGGGAAAGTTCTGATGGTTGTCCAATGTGGATCTACTTAGTGCAGTGTACAAAGCTATACACTCAGAGCTGTTGAAGTGTGGGCTGGGAATGTGGCTTAGTGGTAGAGTGCTTTCCTAGCATACATGAAACCCTAGGTTGGATTCCTCAGTATCACATAAAAAAAGCCAGAAATGGCACTGTGGCTCCAAAGCTAGAGGGCTAACCTTGAGCAAAAGAAGCTCAGAGACAGTGCCCAGCCCCTGAGTTCAAACCCCAGGACTGGCAAAAAAAACAAAAACAAAAACAAAAACTGGTGAAGTGATTTTTGTTTTCAACCTGCCTATATTTATGTATCTCTGTATCTATGTCTATGGCTATATAGCTATAGACATATATGCACATACACATTTTCCCCAGTGCTGAGGATTAATCCAGGGCCTCAATACATGTGGGGTAGGCACTCTACTGAATGAGTTACATACCCCAGCCCATTGTATATGTGTGTGCTATAAATACACATATGCATAAATATATCTCCCTTTTTTATGTTCGTACTAGGTCTTGACTCAGGACCTAGGTGCTTTTTCATTCAAGGCTGGTGAGCTACCACTTGAGCCACAGTTCTGCTTCCAGCTTTTTGGTGGTTAATTGTACATAAGTCTTACGGACTTTCCTGTCCAAGTGACTGAATTCCAATACCCAGATCTCAGCCTCTTTTTTTTTTTTTTGGGGTCCGGTCATAGGGCCTGAACTCTGGGCCTGGGCGCTGTTCCTCAGCTCTTCAGCTCAAGGCGAGCGCTCTACCACTTGAGCCACAGCGCCACTTCCGGCTTTTTTCTTTTTGCTTATGTGGTGCTGAGGAATCGAACCCAGGGCCTCATGCATGCAAGGCAAGCACTCTACCACTGAGCCACCTTCCCAGCCCAGATCTCAGCCTCTTGAGTAGCTAGGATTACATGCATGAGCCACCAGTGCCTGGTCTCTGCTTTCCTCCTCCTTTTGAGATAGAGTGAGCCATGTAATCTAGCCTGGCCTCAAACTTTTTTGTTGTTGTTGGTCAGGGGGCTTGAACACTGGGCCTGAGTGTTGTCCCTGAAATCTTCAGCTCAAGGCTAGCGCTCTACCACTTGAGCCACTAGCACCTGGCATGGCCTCAAACTTGAAATTATCCTGCCTCAGTCTCTTGGGTGCTGGAATTAGAGGCATGCGCCACCACATCCACCTGTGTGTGTGTGTACGTACACACATATATACACACATATACACACATATACATGCATATATACATATATGTGTGTGTGTGTGTGTGTGTGTGTATGTGTACATATAGAGGTATACAATATCTCTATATATAATTTTGTGTGTGGTCTGGGTGCTGCTGTCCCTGAGATTTTGTGCTCAAGGTTAGTGTTCTCCCATTTCAAGTCACAGCTCCATTTCTGGCTTTTTTTGGTAGTTAATTGGAGATCAGAGTCTCACAGACAGCCGGGCGCTGGTGGCTCACGCCTGTAATCCTAGCTACTCAGGAGGCTGAGATCTGAGGATCACGGTTCAAAGCCAGCCCCGGCAGGAGAGACCATGAGACTCCGATCTCCAATAAACCACCAGAAAACTGGAAGTGGCGCTGTAGCTCAAGTGGTAGAGCGCTCCCCTTGAGCTGAAGAGCTGAAGGACAGTGCCCAGGCCCAGAGTTCAAGCCCCACGACCGACCCAAAAAAAAAAAAAGAGTCTCACAGGCTTGGGGCTGGGAATGTGGCTTAGTGCTGAGTGCTTGCCTAGCACGCATGAAGCCCTGGGTTCGATTCCTCAGTACTACATATAAAGAAAAAGCCAGAAGTGGTGCTGTGGCTCAAGTGGTAGAGTGCTAGATAGCCTTGAGCAGAAGACACTCAGGGACAGTGCCCGGCCCTGAGTTCAAGCCCTAGGACCGGCAAAAAAAAAAAAAAAAAAAGAGACAGTTTCTCAGGCTTTATTATCTTGGCTGGCTTCAAACTGGGATCCTCAGATCTAAGCCTCCTGAGTAGGTAGGATTACAGGCGTGAGCCATCAATGCATGGCTCAACTATACTTAATCGCAACAAAAAAAATGGGGGAAAAAAAATCAAGGGATTAAGTATGGCCTGCAAAAAGTTCCATGTAATTAGTCCCTACTAACTCTCCTCCCACTCTCTCCCTAACTCCTTCTGCTCTCATCCCAACTGCCTTCTCAATTCCTTGCCCTCTACCCCAGGTCTTTTTTTTTTGTTTTATTTTGTTTTTTTGGGTCCGGTCGTGGGGCCTGAACTCTGGGCCTGGGCGCTGTCCCTCAGCTCTTCAGCTCAAGGCTAGCGCTCTACCACTTGAGCCACAGCACCACTTCCGGCTTTTTTTCTTTTTGCTTATGTGGTACTGGGGAATCGAACCCAGGGCCTCAGGCATGCAAAGCAAGCCTGCTCTACCACTGAGCCACCTTCCCAGCTCTACCCCAGGTCTTTGAAGGAGCTCCTTCGATCACAACTCCTTCTTTCACTCCCTTCAGTCTTGCTTGCTTGGCCCTTCCAGGAGGATATCTTCAACCACTATCTAAAATAAGCCTCAGCCGGGCGCTGGTGGCTCACGCCTGTAATCCTAGCTACTCAGGAGGCTGAGATCTGAGGATCACGGTTCAAAGCCAGCCCGGGCAGGAGAGACCATGAGACTCCGATCTCTAATAAACCACCAGAAAACCGGAAGTGGCGCTGTAGCTCAAGTGGTAGAGCATTCGCCTTGAGCTGAAGAGCTGAGGGACAGCGCCCAGGCCCAGAGTTCAAGCCCTATGACCGACAAAAAAAATAAAATAAAATAAGCCTCAGCTGGGAATGTGGTCTAGCAGTGGAGTGCTTGTCTAGCATGCATGAAGCTCTGGGTTTAATTCTTCGGTACCAAATAAACAGAAAAAGCCTGAAGTGGTACTAGCCTTGAGCAAAAGAAGCTCAGGGACAGTGCCCAGGACCTGAGTTCAAGTCCCAGGACAAGCAAAAATCATAATCATCCTCATCCTCATCCTGTCATCTTCTGATTCCTTTTCTGCCTTCTGTTATTGCTACCTGACATGTATTTATAATTTATTATCTTGTCCCCAATGAGAACCTAAGTTACAGATCACCAGAGACTTCTCTTTTATTTGCTGTTGCATCCCCAGGGCCTAGAACAGCACCTGGGCACATGGTGTTCAATCATTGTTTGTAGAAGAAGGTAGTTCAGATCACACACAATGACACACAACCAAGGTAAGTGTATAGTGCCACAGAGCAGGTGAGGCATAGAGAAGACAGATCTAGGCCTGAATACTAGCTACTCGGGAGGTTAAGATCTAAGGATGGGCAAAGCCAGTTAGGGCAGACAAATCCAAAAGAATTTGTGTGTACGCACACACATGCACACACACAGAAATGTGCTGGTACTAGGGCTTGAACTCAGATCCTTGGTACTGACCCAAGCGTTTTCACTTAAGATTGGTGCTCTTGAGCCACAGCTCCACTTCTGGCTTTTTGCTCACTAATGAGAGAGAAGTCTCACAGGTTTTTCTGCCCAGGCTAGCTTTGAACCACAATTCTCAGATCTGAGCCTCCTGAGTAGCTAGGATTACAGGTGTCTCTCAAGAGACTTTTATTACCAATTAACCAGCCAGAACTCCAATAGTGGCTCAAGTGGTAGAGCCCTAGCCTTGAGTAGACAAAGCCAAGCACAAGTGCAATGCCCTGAAGTCAAGCCTCAGTGCTGGCACTAAATAAATAAATACAATAGAGAGGACAGGTTGGAGGCTATCACAATAGTCTACATCCATAAAGAAATGGCAACAAATGAGATAAAATAACACAGAACCCCAAAGACATATTGTACCACCATCAATTTCCTGGGTTTGATACCATGTTCTAGTTACGTAAAACGCAATCACTGGGGTAACTGGGTGAAGCATATACAGGACCTCTTCCTCTCTAAATCATCTTTGTAACCTGTGAATCCATAATTATTTTAGTATTAAAGATGGCTTTATTTTATTTCCCTCTCTATGGTGCCCATATTGATCTCAAATGTGTGGGCTCAAGTGGTCCTTCTGCCTCAGATTCAATAGTTAAAGTTTTTTTCCAAGAGCTGAGGAGGTAACCCTTGGTGTTATCCTCAACACTGAAAAAAAAAAGGTATCTACAAAATAAGGCTGGTAGGAATGGAGAGAAAGTAGAGGCAGCAGGACATAGTCACTGGAAACATATAGAGGTTTTGCTCTCCAGTATTAGGATGAATGGCAGGTGGCGGGGCGCTGACTGAGCATTGAGAGGTGCAAGCTAGTTAAAGGCAGGAGAAAAAGATTGGTATGAGGCTGGAAGTCCCTTTATCCAACCTTCAAGCTCCATAATTGTTGCAACCTGCTGCTCCTTAAAGCAACCAGGAACACAACAATGGAGACCTGACCGTGGAAGTGAAGTTTGGGGTACCAGGGGATCTGTAGCTTTCCGCTGGCAACAGATCCCAAGGTTCCATTAACCAAGGTTTTTATTGGTCTTGTACAAGGAAATCAGGTTCAAACAACAAGGAGTGACAATATTTTGTATACAAGTAGTAAGTGACCTTCACATTCAGGGAGGGAGATCTAAACAGTAAACAGCCTACAATTTGCATAAACCTAAATCTACCCTTAGGGTCCCAGTTTAGGGAAGAATCTGAGTTCCTGTTAAGCCAGGACTGATTAACCTTTCCAGGAAAACTCAGCATCCTGAAAGTGTATTGGAAGAAGGCATTACATTACAAACTCCCAATCCTTTCAGGGTCTCACAACTTGGATTTTCAGGCTCTCACACATAATCCCCTGTTACCTGGACTGCCAGGGCGTAATAACACCATCATCAGGGCCTCCTATCAGCACCAAGCGGCCCAGACGAAGGAAGTTCTTCCGCCATGCTGCAGGTAGGAAAAAGAGAGACTGAGTCAGCCACAGGGGTCAGGCCAGGTAGAGCCAAAGACATGGGGGAGGAGGGTGTCAGAGAAGCAGAAAAGGTAGAAGCATGGTCATCTTACCAGTGGCATTGGGATGGTCTCTTTCCCCATTGATCAGGGCCAGGAAGCTGCTGGCATTGAGGTACAAATCATCATGATGGGGGTCTGGATACAAACAGCAATTCAAAAGGTAAAGAAGTAGAATGAGAAGGTAAGACTGGAGACTGGAAGAGCAACCAACAGGCTACAATAATAATTAAGGTAACAACAATATAATACAATCAATAATAAATGTGAACATTATAGAAAGCACTTTTATCTAGCATCTACTATGAGCCAGGTACTATTAAAAGCATATTACAGGGCTGGGAATGTGGCTTAGTGGTAGACTGCTTGCCTAGCATGTATGAAGCCCTGGGTTTGATTTCTACTGAGAAAACAGAAAAAGCTGGAAGTGGTGCTGCAGCTCAAGTGGTAGAGTGCTAGCCTTGAGCAACAACAGCTCAGGGACCGTGTCCAGGCCCTGAGTTCAAGCCCTAGGACTGGTTTAAAAAAAAATTAAAGCATATTACCCCAAGCACTGGTGGCTCATGCCAGTAATTCTAGTTACTGAAATCTAAGGATCTTAGTCCTAAGCCAACATTGGCAGTGAAAGTCCATGAGCCTCCTATCTCTAATTAATCACAACAAAGAAAAAAAGGCCACCAAGTAGAGGCCAGAAGTGGTAGAGCACTAGCCTTGAGCAAGAAAAAGCTCAGGGCCAGCACTCAGGCCTCAAAAGAAAAACAACACTATAAGTGTACAAAGTATGACCAAATCTGTCACTTGTTTTTGTAAATAAAGTTCCAGGGCTGGAGGCATGGCTCAAAGGCTAGAGTGTATGTCTACCTATTGTAGAGAACTGGACTCAAGCCCAAACATCATGAAAAGTAAAGTTTAAAATCGGGCGCTGGGAGCTCACACCTGTAATCCTACCTACTCAGGAGGCTGAGACCTGAGGATTACAGTTCAAAGCCAGCCAGGTCAGGAAACGTCTGAGAAATGCCTATCTCAAAAAAACAAAAACAAATCCAGCACCAGTGACTCACACCTATAATCCTAGCTACTCAGGAGGCTAAGATCTGGTGTAAAGCCAGCCTGGGCAGGCAAGGCTGTGAGACTCTGATCTCCAATTAACCACCAGAAAATGGGAAGTAGTGCTGCTGCTCAAGTGGTAGAGAGCTAGCCTTGAGCTGAGGGGCCAGGCCCAGAGTTCAAGCCCCACAACCGACCAAAAAAAAAATTTAATTAATTAATGAAAAATACAAAAAACAAGCCAGGTGTTGGTGGCTCACGCTTTTAATCCTAGCTACTCAAGGGGCTGAGATCTAAGGATAGCTGTTCAAAGCAAGCCCAGGCAGGAAAGTCCAAGAGACTCTTATCTCCAATTTTCCACCAGAAAACCAGAAGCAATAGTGTGACTCTCAAGTGGTAGAGCGCTCACCTTGAGCTGAAGAGGTCAGGGTCAATCAATGCCCAGTCCCAGAGTTCAAGACCCACAACCAACAACAACAACAAAAAACTGGACATTAATGAAAATGAACTAAGCAACTCAAGGGCAGCAATGGGAGGGAGGGAAGGTGAGGGAAAGAGCTTACACCAAGCAAAAGAAAAGAAATGTATGTATCACCCAACATGGAAGAAATAGTTGTACTGTCAAAGTTTGTAGAATTTACAAACTTTATAGACCAGCCTTGTGAAGGTTAAAATTTGTTTGTAACTTTAAGTATTACTATCCTACAATACTGTGAAATTTATACAATCATTTAATCTCAATAAAAAATTATTATAAAAACAAACAAAACCCACCAGGAAACTGTAAATAGACTTGGCTCAAAGTGGTGGAGCACTAGCCTTGAGCAAAAGATCTTAGGGACAGCGCCCAGTCCCTGAGTTCAGGCCCCACATTGACAAAAAAATTTTTTAATAGAAAAGTAAAGTTCCTCCCCAAGCTAGTGACTCACGCCTGTAATCCTAGCTACTCATGAGGCTGAAATCTGAGGATCACAGTTCTAAGCCAGCCAGGGCAGGAAAGTCCGTGAGACTCTTATCTCCAGTTAATCATCAGAAAACCAGAAGTGGTGCTCAAGTGGTAAAGTGCTCACCTTGAGGTAAAGAGCTCAGGGACAGCACCCAGGCCCAGAGTTCAAGTCCCATGACCAACAAGAAAACAAATCAATAAAATAAAAATAAAGTTTCAATAAGAAACACACACACACACAAAAAGAAACACATTTTTCATAGGGACAACTGGGCTTTCACAAACAGCAGAATCAAGTAGTTATAAGAGAGACTGTAAAGCCTACCACAAACCAATAATATTTACCATCTCTTTTACAGAAATATTTGGCTGAGCCCTACATCATACTATGATCTCTAAGGCAATATGATAATACACATAAAGCCGTGTGAACAATGCCCATACAGATAGTAAGTGCTCAAGAAATGTAAGTTATCACTATTGTTTTCATTGATATGGAACAACAGGCTGGATCCTTTATGATGCCCTCTCCATGGAGGCCCATTCAGCCTCCACCACTCACCATGCCAATAGTTGCAGATGGAGAATTCCTGGCCCCAGGGGCTATAGCAGATCCGGTAGAGGTTGGACCGCATGGAGGTGGGGAACAACCACTTCAAATAGTCTGTATCTGGCAAGAGAATTGCAGTGCCAAGTGGCCACAAGACTAGATGACCCAAAACTCAGGGTCTGCCATGGCGCCCACAGTACTCACTCACCTCCATATTGCCCCATCTGTGGAGATGAGAGGGAGATGAAAGTGTCCACGTTGTGCTCATCCATGACAGATAGCAGTGCGCGGCACACAAGGCCTCCTGTAGGCAGAACAACAGCATCAGGAAGGGATTTAAGAACATCCAGGTCAATGCCCATTGCCCTCAGGGCAATGCCCATTGCCCTCCCCCCTCCCCCCACATCACCACCACAACCAAGCTAAACATAAAAGGAGACAGGCTCAGAGAAGACAGACACACACTGTGTGCCAAAAAAGTCACATGTCATGTGAGTATCAGTTGCTGATTTAAAGATCTAGGTCTCCCGACTAACTCTAGAATCCTTTTAACTGCCCCATTTGTCCTTAAATCCAAGAACCATGGGTAATAGGAAAAGAAGAGACAGTATATTGGATGTCTCCCTCCCATCTGGGGCACAATGAAAAGACTTAGGTACTGAGGGAGTCAGAAAAGTGGGGCTCAGGTACCAAGGCTCTGGCTGGAACAATAGTTTAGAAACAAAGGACATCAGAGGTTTCCCTCAGATAAGAATCAAGCCTCAAATGGGGCTTAGAAGTTAGGAGGGAGCATTGCCTACCCTGGGAGTAGCAGATGAGGTTCACCCCTTCAGGGGCCTTTGCCATGATGGGGTCCACCGCCTCCCGGAACCCTTGCACCTGTTCCCACAGGGGCCGCAAGCTCTGTCTGCCATCGAAGAGATCAATCACTGTCACCACAGTCCCGGGATGTGTCTGTGGGAAGGGGGCAATGCAACCACTGGGGATGGACTATGGAGCCCCACCACCACCCCACCACCACCCTGTGGCCAGCGTCCACATGCCTATTTATGCCTGCTAGAGCCAGTCATCCAAATCCTCATCTCTCCCCCATGCCAGCAGCAGCTCAGCTCCCTAAGGAACTGGCAGTCCCAGAGATAGCTTTGCGCTGCCCACTCTCCCTCCCTAGCCGGGTCCAATAACTCTCGCAGGCCCCCAGACCGACCTCGTTGATGAATTCCAGCAGGTGGCGGAAAGTGGATGAGCTGTCAAAGAGCCCGTGGACCACGATGACCGGCTTGTAGGAAGCGCGGTGGGGCGCGGGAGCTGCGGACAGCAGAAGCGGCAGGAGACACGGCACCAGGAGCAGAACCCAAGCCCAGGGGGGCCTGTGCCCCCGGAGCCCCAGCATCCTCTCACCTGAGACAAGGGAACGAGGGCCCGTGAGAGAGACGACGACACCCCCTCCCCGTCGGAACTGACACGGGACAACAAAGCCTCCCCCCTTCCACACCACGATCTTGCCACCAAATAGCCAGTGAACTCAACTCTACTCCTCCCCCCACGAACACACCCCCAAAACCACGTAGACGCCGCAACGCGCACCCCAAGTCCCGCCTCCAACTCGACGCTCGCGAGACGCGCTCCCGGGGCCCAGGGTCTTCCTGGCGCATCGAGCAATGTGGGGTTCCGCGAGATCCCTTGAGCAGCAGCCCGGGCCTCCGGGAGAGGCAGGCTCTCCCGCCCTGGCCTGGGTCTGGAACCCACGCGGCGGGGGTGGGGAGGGCAAGGTGCGGGGAGGACGCGCCGGGGAATGACGGCGGGGAAGAGGGCAGCTCGGGGTCGCGCAAAGCCGTCACGTCCGGGGCTTTCCCTAGCAACCGTGCGAGCGTCCCCGGCAACGCCGGCCGCGCCGCGGACGGGGTTGGGGGTTAATGGAATATTCCATTGCGCTCTATGAACCGGGGAGGAAGAAAAGCGGAGCGATCCATTTAGGAGGTGCGGGGAAGCGGTCTCCAAGAATCTAAAGAAAGCCCCGGCAGGCCCCGCCACACGCCCGCGATCCTAGGATCCGACTAACCCCCACCTGGATTCAGCCCACTTCCACTCCAGGCGCCCGGCCCCGCAGAACAGGACGTTCTGGGCCCTGGTGGAGCCGTGAGGGTTGGACTGAGTTAAGGTAGTCCTGGTGCCCCACGGCAGCCAGGCGAGTGACAGGATGGCGTGCGGGGCTGCTGGCAGCTGGAGCGCACCCCTCCGCCTCCGCCCGCCCGCCCAGCCGCCCCAGGTCAGCGCCTTACAACTCTTGATTCTGAAGTGCATGTAGTGCCCTCTTCTCCGGAGACGCCGAGAGCCCTCCAGTCCTCTCCAGTGAAGTACTGGCCCGGCCCAGTGTTTACAACTTCCTATGTAAGACCCACCCTTAAGGGGCGGGACCCCTGGGGCTTCTCATTGCCAAGAGATTAAGGTCAATCTTTCAACCTGAATGACCCCCTTCTGGTCTTCCTCACCGAAATCTGCAGGTGGCTGGGGATCCAGACCCTTCCAATCCAGCCATATTTGCCAGCAAGTGGTGTTTCCACCGCTCAGCCTACCAGTGACCCCCTACCCAAGATCCCGGTTGGGGATGGAGGCCTCTGAAGGGGCTTTTACTTAGCAGTTAAAGACGTTTCCCTTGAGAAAAGGATTTCTGAGCAAGCCTGAGCCTCACTGTCTGATGAGCGGTCTGAACGCATCTCATCCAATGAAATCATCTTGAAGCTTGTACAGTGATGATGGGGTAGGAGTAAGGGGTCAGGAGGATTGCACAAATGCCTGCAAAACTTGAACGACTAGTACAAGGCCGTGATCTAAAGCTCTGAGGCCAGGGATTGGTTTGAGCATCTTTACGGGTGGGACGTGGACCAACGGGGAGGGGATAGAGACAGCTTGAAGAGCGACTGCCTGGGGCGGAGGCTGGGATGCACAAATTTAAAGAAGGGGGAGGGGATAACTAATTGTGTTTTTTGTAAAATCTCCCAACTGGTATAATCTGGGTAGACAGCTATCCTCACCCCACCTCCTCACCCACGCGTTCCAAGAAGCAAAAAAGCAAATAAAAAGACTGCAGTAACCACAGTGCCTCTAGTCTCAGGTTGACTCCG